AGTCGCTGCCTCCACCCACCGCGCCGAGGTCGCGTCTGTGGCACCTTCCCCGCAGACCGGGCGCACCTGCGCGTCATCAGCTCATTGGCGCAGGGGCTGCGGGATGGGGCTCAGACCCCACGAGAGCGCCTGGGCCCGAGAGACCCGATAGGACGGAGGGCGCTGGCTTTGCAGGTGGCCAACCCGGGTTTCACCCCGCAGCCCGGCCTGCAGAGAACCCCCCAGTCAAACATCTCACCTGTGAACGATGCAAGTGTGAATCAGCAACCCGACAATTACCACCCAGTCTTCAGCCACTGTTGACCCCAGAGCCCCGCAAACGCCGCCGTTGCCCCTTCCCTCCAGCCTTTTGGGACCAAAATGTCAAAATCAGCGATGAGGGGCCGGAGGAGCGATAGGACAGCCGGGTAGGGCGTTTGCCTTGCATGTGGCTGGCCGGGGTTCGATTCCCAGCATCCCCTAGGGTTCCCCGAGCCCCGTCAGGAGTAATTCCTGAGCGCAGAGCCAGGAGTAACCCCTGTGCATCGCTGGGTGTGACCCAAAGAGCCAAAATAAATAAATAAATAAATAAAAGATAAACTATGCACCCGCAGAGAGAGTTTTGGGGGAAGGTCCAATGGCCAAGTAGGGTTTGTTCCCAATATAGTGGAGAATCCCCTGAGCTCTGCCTAGTGTGCGTCCTGAGCACTGAGCCAGGAGTAAGCGCTGAGCACTGCTGGGTGTGACCCTCCCCCCAAGAAAAAAGACATATTTCTGGCTGGCCTCCCAGGTGCTGGGGACCCCTTGGCAAACTAAGCCGAAGTCTTGGGTTTGTTGCTTGATGTCTCCGGGCACAGCACAGGTAGGCAGACAAGTTAAGAAGGAACTGAAATGTCCTGCCAGGCTAAGACGAGGTGTATGAGGGAAAGCCTGGGTAGGATAAGGGCCTCGGCTGCTGACCTGTGACCTGGCAGAGGTGACCGTTGAAATGGGTGACCCCCCCCCGCCCCGGGGCGGTGAGGGACCCCGTGCCCTCTCTAACCCCCTGTCCCAAGGAGGGGGGTGGACACGCTTACCCAGACACAGCAGACAGCTCAAAGCCAGCACCACGGGAGCCGCCGGCGGCCTCCAGGGGGGCCCTGCCATGGACTGGCCATTCAAGGCATCAGGAAGATGTGGGGGCTTCTTTCTGCCCGGGGTGCTCTGGCCCCTCGGGCAGAGCCGAGGCACATATGGGTACCCCCCTCCCGCCCAGGCGGGCTGCCAGGTGGCTGGAATCCTGGAATGTAGCTCACAGGGCTAATCTCTGGGGGGCGGAGCTGGTCCCCAGCTTCTTACCAGTTCCCAGGCCCCGATTGGCTCCCAGGCCCCCTTCCTCCAGCCTGCCTGGGGGGGGGCCCAGGAAGTCCACAGTGACAGATACGGGGTCCAGGCTGAGCTGGGTGTCGGGACATCCCTTTCTGTGCTCAGATTTCCAGTCACTGGATTTTTTCCAGGTTCTCATCCGTTAAAAAGCACAGAGGAGAGGGGCTGGAGCGATAGCACAGGGCGTTTGCCCTGCACGTGGCCAGCCTGGGTTCGATTCCCAGCATCCCATAGGGTCCCTTGAGCACTGCCAGGAGTAATTCCTGAGTGCAGAGCCAGGAATAACCTCTGTTCATCGCCGGGTGTGAACCTCCAAAGAAAGCATAGGAGAGACAGAGAGAAGGAGGGGGTAAGGCTGTTGCCTTGGAGGCAGATGACCCTAGTCTGAGTCCCGCCAGGAGTCAGCCCTGAGCACAGAGCCAGGAGTCAGTCCTGAGTACCGTCGGGCGGGACGCCCCCAAACAAACAACAGCCAAGAAAATGGACAAGAGCATAGTAGATTTATTAAATAGTCCAGTGGGGCTCAAAAAAGGGTGGGAGAGAGGTGAAGGCTCTGGTCTTGCATGTGGTCGAGCCAGGTTTGATTCCTGGTACCCCATAGGGCTCCCTGAGCCCCCCCAGAAATGATCCCTGAGCACAGAGCCAGGAGTCCGCCCTGAGCACTGCCGGGTGAAACAGGGCCTGGAACTTTGCTAATGGGTGTTGTCTGTACAGGTGCGACATTCTCTTCGTCTCTGGACATTTTCATTCCCTGCTGCCCCTTCCACCCTCTCAGGGGTGTCAATGCTGACCCCCCCAGACCTGTGGCCCCCACCGGCCCCACCCCAGAAGCTGCTCTGCTGGCCCCTCGCCGCCTCTTCCTGCTCTGGTCGGACCCTACCCCCAGCCCTGTCTTCCCAGGCTCTGCTCTATTTTCTCTTTTGGGGGGGTTTGGGCCACATCTGGACCTACAAGGCAAGTGCTTGGGCCTTTCATTCATTGTTTTTGTTTGTTTGCTTGTTTGGGTTTAAACCTGGCAATGCTCAAGCTAACTCTGGCTCTGTGCTCAGGGGACCCTATGGGATGCCGGGGATTGAACCCAGGTTGGCTGCGTGCAGGGCAAACGCCCTACCCGCTGTGCTATCCCTTGGGCCCTGGGGTACGGGGAATCCTTAGTATGAAAAAGGTCATTCCTCTCCCCTCCCCTCCCCACCCTCCCTGCCCCTCCCCTCCCCTCCTCTCATTCCCTTCTTTTCTTTTTTCATTTCTTTTCTTCTCGTTTTCTTTTCTTCTCCTTTCTTTTCCATTTCATTCCATTTCCTCTCTCTTTCTCTCTCGCTCACCCTCAATGCTACCCAGAGTGCCCAGAGGCTGTGGGGAATGTGGGCTCCCGCATTCCCCCTCAGCTGGGCTGTCGGGTCCCTCCCTCTCCTTCTCCCTCTCCAGGGAGGCTGGAGCCCCACCCAGAAATGGCATTAGTAACTGAGCCGCCCCATTGTCCTCCAGCTGCACCCCATTGTCTTCAAGCCTGGGAGACCAAGGTCTAGGAGGCTGGGGAGGAGGGCCTGGCCTGAGACTGGGGACTGCCCCACCCCCCGGAACCCCGGAACCCCCGCAAGCCAACCCAGGCATCTTGCACAAGCAGGAGAAGCTCTGGAGGTCAATGCCAGGGTTGCAAGGCAAACTTGGACCCTAGCTTGCTGTGTGACATCCGGCAAGTTGCTCGCCCTCTCTGAACCTGCCAGGGAGAGGCAAAGATGCCTCCTAGGGAGTCCAAGGGTGTAAATAGGGGCGAGGGCAGCCTGGCCCAGCGCAGACCTCGCTCTCAGAGCGTGGTTTAGTATTTCCCAGAAATGCAGCCTTGCATGGCCCGGGGCTCTGGGAAGACAATTTAATTCTCAGGACAGCAGCAACAAGGCTGGGCCCTCGGCAGCTCATTTTGCACAGAAGGAAGGAAAACACCTGGGCATGAGGCCAGAGCTGACACTTCCCTCCTGGGAGCTGCTGCCAGCGCCCCGCGCCTGGGCCGCTGCCATGCTCGGGCTCTGTGACCTGGGGCAGGTTCTGCAACCTCTCTGGGCCCCAGTATCCTCTCTGCAGTGTGAAAATACTTACTGTCACACAAGGCCCCAGTGTAAGAACGGCTGGAGAGGTTATACAGCGGGTAAAAGGCTTGCTTTGCTTTTTACCCGGCTGAGTCCCCAGGATCCCACGGGGTTTCCCAGAACCTCTAGGGGTGAACCCTGAGGACAGAGCCAGGAGTTAGACCTGAGCATCGCTTGATGTGGCCCCCACCCCACCCCTGTACTCATGGAGGGAGGGGGAGAGGGAAAGGAGGGGGAGAGGGAGAGGAAGAGAGAAAGACATGCACAGAGAGTCACAAAGAGAGATACAGAGAGATAAAGACAGAGACAGACAGAGACAGAGAGAGACAGAGACGGAGACAGAGGCAGAGAGCTTGCCGAGAGGGAGCTAGAGGGGCGCTGTCCCAAGAGGGTCTGCTGCCCCCATGTGTCCTTCTCTGGAATCGCACAGCTCCAGGATCCAGCACCTTTATTTATTTATTTCTTTGGTTTTGGGGGGGCACCCCTGGGGGGCTCAGAGCTGACTCCTGGCTCTGCGCATAGGGATCCCTCCTGGCAGAGCTTGGGGGCCCGATGGGGTGCCGGGGACCGAACCTGAGTCGGCCGCGTGCCAGGCAAGTTCCTTACCTGCTGTCCTGTTGCTCCGGGCCTGCAGCGCGATCACTGGAAGCAGTTTCCACGAGAATGATTGAGAGCAAACACACACGCGTGGTTTTGGAAAGAAAACGACACGGTCGGTTATGGAGTCACTCAAATGGCTCGTCCTGGACAGTGGCCGGACGCTTGTGGCAATCTGGCGTGAAATAACGTGCACGGGTCCTGGAGACGTTGGAGGCTGAGCCCAGGAGCTGAGCCGCTTCCCTGCAGCCCCGCTGGAATCTTGGGGCCCTTGGGAGTCACCGGCCTTTGTCTTTGAGTCCCAAGTGTCCCTTGACCCTTCCATCATGCAGCCATGGCCCCAGACCTGTGGTGACTCTCCTGAGCCGTGTCGGGATGATGAGGCAGTGTCCAGGAATTAGAAAAAAGGCACCAGGAACAGTGACTGTTTGCTGGCTTTTCTTATTTCTTTCCTTGTTTTGTTTTGTTTTGTTTTGGGGGTCACACTTGGTGATGCTCAGGGGTTACTCCTGGGGGTGCTTGGGGGACCCTATGGGATAGCCATGTTTGAGCTATCCCAAAATGCCCCAAAAGAAGAAAAGAACACAACACAGGACATGTGACGCCCGCAAATTGTATCAAGAATATGACAGATTTGGAACCAGAGTGAAGGGACAATGGGGAGGGCGTTTGCCTTGCGCGGAGCCAACTCAGGTCCGATCTCCCCAACCCATAGGGTTCCCCAAGCATCGCCAGGTGTGACCCAAAAAGCCAACAAAACAAAACAAAACAACAGCAACAAAATCAACCAAGAATGAGAGATTCTTCCTGACATTTCCTTTCAAACATCAAAATTCCCAGGGGCCACCTCTCCCAGACCACCCCACACCCACTCTGTACACAAGACCCCTCTCCCCACCCCCGCCACACACACACATGCACACACACTCCACGTCCATGCCGGGCTCCGAGGTGCCCCCTCCAGGGTCCCGCTGGTCAGGCGGACACGCTGACCTTCCTGCGCACCAACTTCCTGAGGGCCCCCTTCATGTCCCGGTTGCGGAGGCTGTAGATGAAGGGGTTGAGCATAGGGGTGACGGCCGTGTACATGACGGCCGAGGCCTTCTCCTTCACGGCCGTGCGCACGGACGAGGGACACAGGTAGACCCCGATGGTGGTGCCGTAGAACAGGGCCACGACGGACAGGTGCGAGCTGCAGGTGGAGAAGGCCTTCCTGCGGCCGCCCGCCGACGGCACCTTGAGCACGGCCGCCAGGATGCGCGCGTACGAGGCCAGGATGCACACGAAGGGGGCGGCGATGACCAGGCCGGCCACGGCCAGCACGAAGGCGCGGTTGACGAACGTGTCCGAGCACGAGAGCCGCAGCATGGGCGTGAGGTCGCAGAAGTAGTGGGGCAGCTCGTGGCGCGCGCAGAAGACCAGGCGGGCCATGAGCAGGATGTGCGTGAGCGACAGGATGCCGGAGCAGAGCCAGGGGCCGCCCACCAGCAGCGCACACACGCGCGGGCTCATGATGGTGCTGTAGTGCAGCGGGTGGCAGATGGCCACGAAGCGGTCGTAGGCCATCACGGCGATCAGGACGCTGTCCACGATGCCGAAGAAGTGGAAGAAGTACATCTGGGTGAGGCAGCTCACGTAGGAGATGGCCTTGCTGCCCGTCTGGATGTTGGCCAGCATCTTGGGCACCGTGTTGGTGGCCAGGCAGAAGTCCACCAGGGACAGGTGGGCCAGGAAGAAGTACATGGGGGTGTGCAGGTGGGGGTCGGTGCTGATGGCCAAGATGATGAGCAGATTCCCCACAGTGGTGACCATGTACATGAGGAGGAAGAGGATGAAGAGAATTGTCTCATGTTCTGGAGCTTCTGCAAGTCCCAGCAGGATGAAATACTCACCTGTGTGGGTGACATTCCTGGCTTCCATGGGTATAATTTCTCTCACAGTATCTGAAGGTGGAAGTTTGATGCTTCAACAGTGAGGAAGATCCTGCGGGGGAAAACGAGATTCTGGACAGAGAAGAAAGAATCAAACAAATATCCTGTCTATACTCTGTGATGTCCACCCTGCATTCTCAACTGTTGGTCAATGTTGGCAAAAAACTTGGTCCCAGGATGCTTTCCTGAACATTCCTGGAGCTGGCAGATGTTTAGAAAACTCAGCATGTGTAAACCCAGGCTTCTAAAACTAGCAAAAGATACGTAGAAAGAGAAAAAGAAATGCATACATAGGTTCATAGGATCATGGGGACATCTTCATGTTACTGTATTTCACCCACAATCACTGCAGATTCTGTACCAGTTTTGTTTCTTTGTTTGGGGGACCACACCCAGCAATGTTGAGGGCAACCCTTGGCTCTGTGCTCAGGTATCCCTCCTAGTGGGACTCAGAGGATCCTATGGGGTGCTGGGGAGTCAAACCCAGGTCAGCCATGTGCAAGGTAAGCCCTTTCTCCACTGGACTGTCTTTCCAGCCTCCAGACCCGAATCATTTGTAAGGCTGCAAGGTGGAATGATGGGAGATTCGTGGGTAGTTCAAGTCCTTTTGTGATTACTAGAACTTGAGTCTAAACTTGATCTTGATTTGGAGGAAATTAAGCCCCACCCCACCCCCAAATTTCCTGTGCAGTGGAAGTGAGGAAACCTGAAAACATGACTGGGAGGAAATTCCTCTCCAGAGATGGTCGCAGGCAACATTTAGGAGAATCCTATAAGATCTTTAGGGGAGGCTGGAACGGATAGGGGAGGCACAGCAGGTAGGGCGTTTGCCTTGCATGTGGCCAACCTGGGTTCAATTCCCAGCATCCCATATGGTCTCCCAAGCACCGCTAGGAGTAATTCATCAGTGCAGAGCCAGGAGTAAGCACTGTGCATCGCTGGGTGTGACTCCTCCTAAAAAAATCTTTAGGGGGAACAGTGAGGGCAGTCAGCTTCAAAGGGATCAGGCACATGTGTGAGACCCAGATCTGACCCCCAGCACTGTGGCAGTGATCCTTGGACACTAGGGGGTGCCTCCTCCCAAAAAACCCCAAAGAAAAACATCAAGTAAGCTGCAAATCTGCCCAAATCCAAAGCCCAGAGTGCCGGTGCTGGGCCCCGCTGCCTCGCCTCATCCACATTTCCTCCCCTTCCTGGATTATCTGAATCTGCATCCCCCCACCCCAACCAAATGCCATGGCTACAGACCCCCAACCACCAAGGCTCTTCTTTCCTGCACATCTCCACACCAGCGGAGAACACAGAGCACCTTCCACTTCATGCCATCATATGTGGAGAAAAGATGACGTTTTGTTTTTTTTCAATTTAACCCCTGACCTTCTTGTCCATCCCAGGCATCCCTGAATCTGTGATTCCTACGCTACTCCCTGTCTCACTCCTGGTTCTTGTGTAGCACTTGGGAAAAGATGTTTGGGGACCGGACAGATCCGGGTGTTCCCTTAAGCAGCTCGGGGATGAGACTTTCCCCCAGGATCTCCTGGGAAGCCCCAGGGATGGGTTCACTCAGGGTGCAAATGCCTTGCACAGGCTTACAGAGGCTTACGAGACCTGATGGTGACAGATGTCTTCCAGCAGAGACTCCGTCGGGCTGGACCAGTTCGCCGATTTGCTCCGGATCGCTCGAGTGGTTCACGCTGCCACTAACCAGCTTTGGAAAGGATGCGGGAGCAACCCAGAGGCTCGGCTAGGTTGAGCCAGAAGGCTGAGAAATCCACTGAATCGTAGTCTGGGAACAGAAAGAGAGATTGAGCGGGAGAGATGTTCCTAGGGGCTCGAGAAAACAGAATAGAGGTTTGTTCTCTGAGTCTGCCTGTACGTTTTCATCTCTGCCATCTCTCTCTCTCTCTCTCTCTCTCTCTCTCTCTCTCTCTCGTTTCTCTATCTTTCCTTCTCTTTCCCTTTTTTGGGGGGAGGGGGTGCTGTTTTGCTTTTGAAGCACACCCAGTGGCACTCAGGTTACTCCCAACTCTGCACTCAGGAATTACTCCTTGAGGTGCTCGGGCAACCATGTGGGATGTCAGGAATCAAACTCAGATCAGCCGCATACAAGGCAAATGCCCTCCCTTGGTATATGATCACTCCAGCACGTCTCCCGATGCTCTTTCTGCCAGTTTCTCCCTGTCTCTTCCTCTACCCGTTCCCTCTCTCTTTCCCTCTCTCTCACTCCTTCTGTGTCCCTCCCTCTCCCTCTATCCCTTCCCCCTCCTCCTCGTCCTCCTCCTCTTTCTTCTTCTTCTTCTTCTTCTTCTTCTTCTTCTTCTTCTTCTTCTTCTTCTTCTTCTTCTTCTTCTTCTTCTTCTTCTTCTTCTTCTTCTTCTTCTTCTTCTCCTTCTCCTTCTCCTTCTCCTTCTCCTTCTCCTTCTCCTTCTCCTTCTCCTTCTCCTTCTCCTTCTTCTTCTTCTTCTTCTTCTTCTTCTTCTTCTTCTTCTTCTTCTTCTTCTTCTTCTCCTTCTCCTCCTCCTCCTCCTCCTCCTCCTCCTCCTCCTCCTCCTCCTCCTCCTCCTCCTCCTCCTCCTCCTCCTCCTCCTCCTCCTTCTTCTTCTTCTTCTTCTTCTTCTTCTTCTTCTTCTTCTTCTTCTTCTTCTTCTTCTTCTTATTCTTCTTCTCCTCCTCCTCCTCCTCCTCCTCCTCCTCCTCCTCCTCCTTCTCTCCCTATCTCCCTCTCCTGTCCTCTCTCCCTCTCTCTCTCCCTTGCTCCCTCTCCCCACTCCTTTGCTAGTCCACTTACTGGGCTGTCTTTTCTCTTCCCAAAGACATCTCTGAAGCCTGGGCTCAGCTTGGCTCACGTCAATCCCTGACAAAGCAGCCGTCTCTTCCGGGAAAGGGGAGAAGGGGGGACCTCAGCTCTTAGGACATGGGAAGTGTCGCAAACACACAGGTGGCATCGGGACATAAGGAAGAAGGGCAGAGCTGGGAAATAAATGGGAAGGACTGAGGGAATATTTACTATCTCTGGGCCAATCAGAAGCCAATCCCCAAAGCTCCTTGTTAAACAAATGGGGCCTGAGTAACTTCTATTCCCTGAATAATTTCATTGCCTCTGAGGGCTGGAACGGGGCGGTGGGGGTATAGAACATCAGGATGGATTATTTCACATCTTTATTCAGGAGGAAACTTGGGACCTGTTGTTTTTATTTCCCAACTCGCTTAGTGTCTTCTGCCTCTGGGTCCCTTGGCGAGAAGCTTTGCCTCTTTTCTCGCCTTTTGAGCACAAGCTGCCCCACCACTCCTGACAAGTCTTGGTCAGATGGGCGACTGAGTCAGTGCTAGAACCCGATGGTGATCAGATCCAGGGGTGATTGAGACACAAAGCCAGCAATTCTTGCAAGTCCCCTACTCATGCCTCATACTATCTCCCCAGCCCATGAAAGTGTACAGTTCTGTCTCAGTCCAACCAGAACCAACACAGTGAGGCAAATTCTCCAAACTATGGGTCTCAAGACAATATGTTTTAGCTTGACCCCAAAGTTTCCCCTAAGTTTTCAAGGGGAAAGAAAAGGGGTGATGAGCTCCTGTTCTCATGTCTGTCCTTTCTACTCATCAAACAGGAAACCCCATTGGGGCTGTTTTTCTAAGACCTGGAAGAGGAGGGGAGCCAGGAGAAGGTTGGGAAATTACCCCAAGAAATTGAGAGCTGGGAGCTAGAGCGCTAATACAGAGTGAGGAGTGTTTACTTTGCTCACAGTCGACCTAGTCTGACCCCCAGCATCCCACAGGGTCCCTTGAGCACTACCAGGAGCAATTCCTAAGTGCAGAGGCAGGAGTAACGCCTGAGCATCACCAGGTGTGGTCTCAAAACAAAAAGCAAACAAGCGGAAAAGAAATTAAGAGCTGAAATCAGTATTTTAATAAAACTATTCCTCTGCCCCCCCCTTCGGTGAGCTGAGCCTCTGTGTGTGTGTGTGTGTATGTGTGTGTGTGTGTGTGTGTGTGTGTGTGTGATTGAAAGGGAGGGGCATGGGGTGTCTTTGGGGAATGAGGTGAGCACACTGGTGATGGGCGTGGCTTTGGAATGACACACATGAAAAGCCATCATCAATAATATTGTCAATCAAAAGAAAAGTTTTAAAATAATTTTTGTGCCAGGTATGAGTCGGTTGTGATGGGGCAACTGAAACCTCATGGGAAGGGGGGGCGTTCCCAGCTCGTCCTTCACGTCCTACCGAGGTCACAAGTTGACCCCCAAGAGCGGCTCTCTGGCACGGCCATGGCTCCAGAAGCACAAGGACTTAATGCAGAGCCCGGCAGCTTGTGGCAGAAAAGTGAATGGACTATGTGTTAATCTACGCCACCATGCCTGCCCGGAAGGGAAAGGGTGTTGCTCCCTTCCGACTTTTTCCCTCTGGAAAGCAAGATGGCGGCCACCTCAGAGCTTTTTGGAAAGCCAGGTATGAGCCGGTCGTGATGGGGCAACTGAAACCTCATGGGAAAGGGGGCGTTCCTGGCTCGTCCTTCACACCCTATTGAGGTCATGAGTTGCCCCCCACGAGCGGCTCTCCTGCATGGCCATGGCTCCAGAGCCACAGAAACCAATCTCATAGTTATCTGACTCTCAGCAGAAATACTTCCAGGCTTAATAAGTAAAATAACAGAAATCCAAAATCGCACCACCACTATCATTTGGTTCTTGTAACCAGCTGCAGAAAACAAGTTATTTCACAATGCCTTTTCAGCAGGTCTGATTTGGGCGTGTAAACTCTAAATAATAATGGTGCATCTTTTGTTGAAACAATGAATCTAATCAAAGTAGATAGAGTGTTAATTAGAATTCATCTGCCTCACGGGCATTGGGAGGGGCTGAAGGGAGGTATATTGGGGTTCTTGGTGGTGAAAAATAAGTACTGGTGCAGGGAAATGTGTTTGATGATTGCATGACTGAGATTTAAACCTGAAAGCTTCTCACGGTGATTCAATAAGTAAAGTAAGTAA